GGGGGCCAGGAAGCCCCAGCCGGGCTGAGCCACGCCAGGGCCTTGGGCGAGCCCGCAATGGGCTGGAATAGCGTTGTGCCCCGCCCCCGGGAAAGCGGGGAGTGGAGGAAATGCGACAGAAACAAGCACATCCCGGATCCCTGAGCGTGGGCTGGAGGCAGGGCTGGGCCCGAGCACCCTAGGCCAGGCCTTTCCGCCCCAAGCGATGCCATGCCCCCCCGACTGCCCTTCTCTTGTCCCTGTGGCCTCTGTCTGGCTCCCTCCCAGGTCCCCCACCCCTCCGGATTGTCCCTGCACCCCACTCTGGGCAGCTCGCTGGCCCCTTGAGGGCAGGCCTTGCCCGGGAGCAAGGGGGCAGGTCGCAGCAGTGGGTCCTATGCGTGTCCAGGGGGCTGTTGCCAGGTCACCCCCGCAGCAGCTCTTTCAGGCTGGGGCGCAGCCAGCGGCAGGGAAGGAAGCGAAGCTGCAATGTTCATTTCCACCCACGCAGCTGGGACTAGGACGAGCTCTGGGCCTGCAGCCCAGGACGGGCAAAGAGCCCATCAGGGAAGGGGGCCTGTGGGCTGTGGGATCTCTGAGCTGAATGGTCGGTCGTCTATACAAACCCACCCTCCACGGCCCACACAGCCCCCACAGTCGCTCCCAGCAGCTGATGGAAGTCACACGGGGGATGGGTGTACAGGCTGCCTGCCTGTATCAGTACAAAAGAACAGCCATATTGGATCAGACCAAAGGTCCATCTAGCCCAGGATCCTGTCTGCTGACAATGGCCAACGCCAGGTGCCCCAGCGGGAGTGAACAGAACTGGTAATCACCAAGTGCTCCATCCCGTCCCCCATTGCTAGCATCTGGCAATCAGACTAGGGACACGACTCCTGCCCTTCCTAGCTAGTAGCCATTAATGAATCTGTCCTCCATGAATTTATCTCATTCTTTTTTTAACTCTGTTATACAGTCTTGGCCTTCACAATATCCTCTGGCAAGGAGTTCCCCAGGTTAACTGTGTGCTGTGAGAGAACTTCCTTCTATTTCTTTTAAACCTGCTGCCTATTACCTTCATTGGTGGTCCCTAGTTCTTGTGTTACAAGGAATAAATAACACTTCCCTATTCACTGTTTTCACACCAGTCATGATTTTATAGACCTCAATTATATCCCTCCCTTAGTCGTCTCTTTTCCAAGCTGAAAAGTCCCCGTTTTACTAATCTCTCCTCATATGGAAGCTGTTCCATGCCCCTAATTGTTCTTGTTGCCTTTTTCTGAACCTTTTCCAATGCCAGTGTACTTTTTTGAGAAGGGGTGACCACATCTGCATGCAGTATTTAAGATGTGGGCGTACCATGGATTTATACAGAGGCAATAAGACATTCTCGGTCTTATTCGCTATTCCTTTTCTTCATGATTCCCAATATTCTGTTTGCTGTTGTGACTGCTGCTGCGCACTGAGTGGATGTTTCCAGAGACGTAGCCACAAGGACCCTGAGATTGCTCTCGCGAGTGGTAACAGCCAACTGAGACCCATCATTTTACATGGGAAGTTGGAATTATGATTTCCAATGTGCATTACTTGGCATTGATCATCACTGAATTTCATCTGCCAGTCACCACGCTCAGAGCGATCCCTTTGTAACTCTTTGCTGTCGGCTTCGCACTTAACGATCTTGAATAGTTTTGTACCATCTGCAAACGTGGCCACCTCACTGTTGGCCCATTTATCCAGCTCATGTGTGAATATATTAACCCGGTACGGACCGCTGGGGGACACCAGTAGTTAGCAGGCAGCAGCTCAGGCCTGGCCCGTTGGGGGCTCCACATCAGGACTGAATAGCATCCGCAAAGCTTCAGGGAGGAGCAAGCCCCTTTCTGTACTGTACCTCACATCCGCTAGCGCTCTCGGGGCCCACGCCCAAGCCATGCTCCCCCCTCCCTGCCCCGCCCTCCCTGCTCCTGAAAATCCAAGCAAGGACTTTGTAAAACACCTTCCCAACGGTCTGATCCTGACACGGGACATTTGCACGGAGTCTGGACCCGAGGGCTGCAGCAGGAGTCCGTGGTCACGCCTCCCCCAAAGCCGCCTTCTGCCAAGGCTCAGAGCCCCTGGGCAAACGGACTCCCCGCCGAGGTCCCTCCCAGGGACGCTGCACATTAGAATTCCCAGGTCGGGGGGCATGTTACGGAGCGGGGGGGTGGCGCCGCAGGATCAGTGCCCAGAGTGCCCCCTGCCACACCCACAACGCAATCAGGGCAGGGCTCCTATACGCCAGCTCTTCCACTTTCCCTCTAATTACAGAAGAGCAATTAGGCCCTTCACGGGATGGAGTGTGGGCAGATTTTTGCTGACTGCCTTTGATATGCAAATTGCCCGAGATTAGTGGGCATCTAATTACTGTGAGAAACCACCTCTGTTTGCACAGAAGGACATGGCTTGCACGCCTGGAGAGGACACGTGCACCGGCCTCTCCTGGTTCCTCGTTTGCCAGGGCGGAAGGAGCTGGTGTAGGGGTCACTGGCACGCCCTGCACTGCCCACTGAGACTGGTGCCAGCGCTGGCCCCATGGGCTCACAAAAGGCTGCTCAGGAAACAAAGTCGCAGGGGGAGCGGTGAGGCGCCGTGTGGGTAGATACTGGCAGTGGGGCAGAAGGCAAAGAGGAGTCAGTAGCCAACTTGCAGCATGGCCCAAGGTTTGCAGGGGGCCAGTGGCCCATGGATCAGTCCCAGCGCCAGGCTGGAAGGAATGAGCTGGAAAAGGGGGAAGCAGCGAGGCAGCTAAATGGAGACAAAGCTGCAGAAGGCAGAAGGGAACGTCCCCAGGCCCTGGCGGAGCCCGGCAGCACCCTGGCAGCGGGCATGGAACGCTGACTCTTTGGAAGGGGAACCGCTCGGCACCTCCCAGGGGAGGGGCACGGCCTCCCCTCCCCGCGCAGCCGTCCATAGGGCAAGCAAAGTATGGGGCTAGACGGGGCTCCTTTTGCACTCAGCCCCACGGCTGGGCTCCCTGCCCCATGGCCACCAGGCTTTTCTCCTTGCTCCCATGTGCCAAGTACCCAGTCAGCCCAGCTCTCCCTGCTTTACCCAGCCCCCTCTCACAAACACCCGGCCCCCGAGCGCCCCGAGGGAGACTAGCATGGGAATGACCCACGGCGCGCTCCAAGCTGCCCCCTCTGCTCTCCTCTGGCCTGGGCTGTGTGTAGGAAGGGTGTTGGGGGCTGAGGGATGGCCCAGGTGCTGAGATCTAGCCCAGACTCAGCCTTGGGCACGTGGCGCCAGCTCCCTGCCTCCATTTCCCCATCTCTGCAGACGGGACATCTGCAGAGGCTGGCCCCCAGCTGCCTGGCATGAACCATACAGATCTCCTCAGTCCAGCTCAGACCCTGTCACCCCTGGAGGGCCTGGGAGCTGGGTTTGTTCCTGCACAGAACACCGGTGGGGAGGCCCTGCTCCATTGCCTGGCATGGGTGGGGCTTCCTGCTCCCCCAGGTCAGCAGGTGGGGACCCCCCCCCCGGGTGTGGACAAGACCTCCTGCTCACTCACCAGCTGGCTGGGTGCTGTTGGCGCTGGTCCCAAAGTCCTCCTCGTAGGATTCGTCGTTGGAGTCTTCCCCGTCCACCGAGGACCAGGCCTTCAGCTTGGCTTCGGCGATGGCAAACTGCTCGGCGACCCCTAGGGAGGCAGGGAGGAGACACTGAGCTCTGGGGAGGGGCCCAGTGGGGAGACGCGGCCCCTCACAGGGGCAGGTAACACTGGGCGTCCTGGCCCATGTTCAGGACGGGTCTCTGGGGGTGGGAGAACCCAAGGCTGGGCACCACAGGCCATGGCCACCTAGCACAGCAGGGGCTGGACGCCCAGTCATGGGCTCCTCTGTCCAGAGCAGGCGTGCCGGGAGCCCCGGTACCTGCACAGCCTGGAGCGGGGGGACCCCCGCCACTGGCCCCACTGAACCCTGTGCAGGCGCTGCTCCCACAGGCCACGACGCCGGACCCTCGTGTGTCACGCGGGGCCCAGGCCGGAGCTAAGGGGAGGCACCTGGCAGGCCCGGGGCACCGCACCCACGCTCCCCGCTGCCCCCCCGCAAGGCAGGCTAGGAAGCCGTTGGCCTGATGGAACCGGGGTCTGGGAGCAGGATGGAGCAGCCCCCTGCTCTCGTTGGGAGCCTGACACTGCAGCCCCCATATCGGGGGCTGGGCCCAGGACCAATGGGAGCTGAAGGAGCATGGCCCTGCACCATGACTGGTCTGGTGGAATCAGTGGGGCAGAGAGGGCTCAGCACCATGCACGATCACGGGGAGTTAGGGGGCTTGCACATGCAGGACCGGGCCCTCTGCAGGCAGCGGGGGGCTCAGCACCATGCAGGATTGGGCCCATGAGCGCCACAGGGGGCGGGGCTGGGGCTCAGCACGGGATGGGGCCCATCAGCATCCGTGGGTGCTCAGCTGCATGCAGGATCGGGCCCACTCTTGCTCATTTCGCTCGTCAGCGAACAACAAACCCTGTTGTTAAGAGCCGCTCGTCTGGGTAATTCAGGGCTGCAGCTGCCTCCGTGCGTCACCTTCCCCCAGATGCCAGGGAGGGGGCAGCGCCAACTCCAGCTCTCCCGGGAACCAGCCTTAACGCTCCTGCTCCTGCCACGCTCCAGGCTCCGCCGCC